GGTGGTCATTTGAGTCCTCAGTCTGATTTTCCATTTTAAATATGCCAACAGAACCCCAACACTTAAAAACTCGCTCGCATATACATGAAAACGGGGACAGTTGGATAGCAGGAACTGCTCGATGGCAGGGATGTTGATAGTGCTTTCTTTCAGGAGTTATTTGATTTGCCTGCTTAGCATATGCCAGCACTAATTTACTGCCGAACAAAATGCTTGGATGGACTTATTTTCCCGACTTACTGAGTCATACCTCGATCTTAAGCATGTGAATACCTCAAAATTAAAGTACCTCGATCTTAAGCACCACGTGCCTCACCAGTCTAAGTTGAATACTTATAAAACTATCGGCTGTAAAATGAGCCTCAGGAGATTTTTTGGGGATTTCGTATCTTCAGCGTCAGTCAAATATGATGCAAGTAGAAATATGATCATTGCGTTTAACAGCCTTGTACTTTTGGCCTGGGGGATTATTCCATTGTTAGAGGATTTCGGTGCGGGAAGCTGTTTATGCACTGTTGTTACTCTAGCATTCGCGGGCATTGTTACTCTTTTTCTTGTTACTCTAGCATAAGTTTTCTTGTTGCTTTAGCATTGTTACTCTAGCACTTTAGCATTACTCTAGCATTTGTATTACTATGTTATTTGTTAGGACAGAAAAGATATTATTGCGATCTGTTTCACCATCAGCGTTAATGAGGACCACTGGAGCTGTAATAATAATTTGCAGAAGATTTGATAAGGAAGCCGACTTTACTGAATGCCGTGAGTCGATTTGGTACTAATGCCCTGAATGGTTTGGATCGTACACGAACACTCTTCGCACGTGAGCTTGGCAAACCGCTCAGATCCGAGCAACTTTTACACAGAGTTAGTCCTCACACTTCTTTTAGGAATTCCTAGTAAATCACTCAGTTTAATAATATGTTCCGTGGACTTATTTAAATATGATAAATTGTTTACCATGAAGTGAAACGCATCGAAACCCCCTTTTTTTCAATGATGCATTTTCAGCTTAAAAAACCGTTGTTTGCGGTTGGTTTCTGTTGGCGGATTTCTGCCGGTCGCCCACTCTAGGGCAAATACAGAAGGGGTTTCGATTCAGCTTTTCAAGAATAAAGTTTTTGCACCGTGCATAAGACACCTTGTCCAGTTTTCATCGTTTTTTTTTTTGATTTC